TTGTGAAATCCGATGTTTTTTCGAGGTCGTTCACATTTCCAGTTAAATGTGACTTGTATGTGACTCCAGTGTGAACATTAAACAGTCCAAAAGTGTCCCACATGTGACACTGGAGACACGACGACGTCAACCGCAGCGAGCGTCTCTGTGTTTACAGAAGTTGTCCAAACATGGACGCAGCATCGAGCACCTGGAGATTTTAAAGTTTAAAGTTTAAGGAGGAGATTGAGAAGGAGAAGGACGAGGTTTTTGGTCGTGGTGTTTTGTGGGACAGAACGTTGAAAGGAACGTGTGGATGTGGAGACGGAGCCAAGAGTGGTGAGTGGTCAGTGTTGGGGAGTAACAGATTACATGTACCAGAGTTACGTAATCAGAGTAGAAATGATGAGTAACTGTATTCAGTTACAGTTACTGTTTCAGTGAGTGGTAATTGGATTACAGTTACTTTGTTGAAATAAATGGATTACACAGAAGTATTTTCCTGTTTTCACATTTTGGGCTATATTCCCCCCTTTTTTATTTTATTTTATTTTTTTTTTCCGGTGATTCCACTGATTGCTGGACACTAACCAAAAACCAGGTCTAAACTAGGACTAAACCAGGACTAAACCAGGATTTAACCGGTCTAAACCAGGTCTAACCCGGCCCAAACAAACCAGGACTAAACCCAGGTCCAAACTAGGACTAAACCAGGATTTAACCGGTCTAAACCAGGTCTAAACCCAGGCCCAAACCAGGTCTAAACCAGGACTAAACCAGGTCAAAACTAGGATTAAACCAGGACTAAACCAGGTCTAAACCAGGTCCAAACCAGGTCCAAACCAGATCTAAACCAGGACTAAAGAAGGTCTAAACGAGGACTAAACCAGGACTAAATCCTGCTGCTGTGGACGTGTTTCTTCATCTTCTATCAATAATATTTTTAATTTGGTTCAGTAAAGTTTGGGCTTTTTATTTTCTTTTAGCAGATAAAACTTCTTATGTGAAGATTTCCTCGTCTTTGTTTCTCTACAGCAAATCAAGTAATCCAAAGTATTCAGATTACATTACTCACTTTAAGTAATTTAATGGATTACGTTACAAACTACATTTTGGTGTGTGTAATCTGTAATCTGTAGGAGATTACATTTTAAAAGTAAACTTCCCAACACTGTGAGTGGAGATGTGCTTCACTTCAGTCACACAGAGTTCATTAACAATTTTCTCCTACTTCAGCGCAGAATAGTGACGTTTGTGTCTTGTTGATAACGTGTAGGTGGATGAATGCACTTTGTCCGTTCACACTGAAGTCACATGTTAAAGATCAGATATGTATCAGTTTCAGGAGCACATATCCAAGTGTCCTGGGTCACGTTTGAAAAAATCGGATCTGTGTGGTTCAGACTGACATTAAAAGATCAGATACAGGAACATAGAGACAAAAAATCGTATTTGGGTCACTTCAGGTGCAGTCTGAACGCAGCCTTAGTCTTAGTTGGACACTTGAATCCCAAGAAAACTGATGATGAAACAGAGAAGAAACTGAACAAGCTTCTGAGACAAAGAAGGTGATGAGTTGGGACTTGTAGGTTTTTGTGTTGTAGTTGTAGGTTTTTGTGTGGTAGTAGTTGCCTGTGTAGTTGTAGGTTTTTTGTGTGTAGTAGTTGCCTGAGTAGTTGTAGTTGTTTTTGTGTTGTAGTTGTAGTTGTAGTTGCCTGTGTAGTTGTAGTTGTAGGTTTTGTGTGTAGTTGTAGTTTTGTGTAGTTGTGTAGTTGTGCCTGTGTAGTTGTAGTTGTAGGTTTTTGTGTGGTAGTAGTTAGTTTGTGTAGTTGTTGTGTAGTGTAGTTGTAGTTGTTTTTGTGTGTAGTAGTAGTAGTTGCCTGTGTAGTTGTAGTTGTAAGAGTTGTTTTGTGTGTAGTTGTTTTTGTAGTTGTAGTTTTTGTGTTGTAGTTTAGTAGTGTTGTAGCTGTTTTGTGTTGTAGTTGTAGTTGTAGTAGTTTGTTTTTTGTGTAGTAGTTTTGTGTAGTTGTAGGTTTTTGTGTTGTAGTTGTAGGTTTTTGTGTGTGTAGTAGTTGTTTGTGTGTGTAGTTGTAGTTGTAGGTTTTTGTGTAGTTGTAGTTTTTGTAGTTTGTTTTTTGTGTGGTAGTTGTAGTTGTAGTTGTAGTAGTTTTTGTGTGTAGTTGTAGTTGTAGGTTTTTTGTGTTGTAGTAGTTGTGTAGTTGTAGTTTTTGTTGTAGTTAGTAGTTGTGTGTAGTGTTAGTTGTTTTGTAGTTTTGTAGTGTTTTTTGTTGTGGTGTTTGTTTTTTTGTGTGGTAGTAGTTGCCTGTGTAGTTGTAGTTGTAGGTTGTAGGTTTTTGTTGTAGTGTAGGTAGTTGTAGGTTTTTGTGTGTAGTGTTTTTGTGTTGTAGTAGTTTTGTAGTTGTAGGTTTTTGTGTGTAGTAGTTGTGTGAGTTGTAGGTTTTGTGTGGTAGTTGTAGTTGCCTGTGTAGTTGTAGTGTGTGTGTTGTAGTTTGTGTTTTTGTGTTTGTAGTTTTTTGTAGGTTTTTGTGTGTAGTTTGTGTGTAAGTAGTGTTGGTAGTTTGTAGGTTTGTTTGTGTGTAGTAGTAGTAGTTGCCTGTGTAGTTGTAGTTGTAGGTTTTTGTGTTTGTAGGTTTTTGTGTTGTAGTTTTGTGTTGTAGTTTGTAGTTGTAGTTTTTTTTGTGTGTGGTAGTAGTTGCCTGTGTAGTTGTAGTTGTAGTTTTGTGTGTAGTTGTAGTTGTAGTTGTAGTTGTAGGTTTTTGTGTTGTAGTTGTAGGTTGTAGGTTTTTGTGTGGTAGTAGTTGCCTGTGTAGTTGTAGTTGTAGTTGTAGGTTTTTGTGTGTTGTTTTTGTAGTTGTTTGTAGTTGTTTTTGGTGTTGTTGTAGTTGTTTGTAGTTGTTTTTGTAGTGTGTTGTAGTAGTTGCCTGTGTAGTTGTAGTTGTAGGTTTTTGTGTGGTAGTTGTAGTTTTTTGTGTTGTAGTTGTAGGTTTTTGTGTTGTAGTAGTAGTTGCCTGTGTAGTTGTAGTTGTAGGTTTTGTGTGTAGTTGTAGTTTTGTAGTAGTTGTTTTGTGTTTTGTAGTTTGTAGTTGTTTTTTGTGTTGTAGTAGTTTGCCTGTGTAGTTGTAGGTTTTTGTGTGGTAGTAGTTGCCTGTGTAGTTGTAGTTGTAGTTGTAGGTTTTTGTGTGGTAGTAGTTGTTGTAGTTGTAGTTGTAGGTTTTTGTGTGTTGTAGGTAGTAGTTGCCTGTGTAGTTGTAGTTTTTGTAGTTGTTTTGTGTTGTAGTTGTAGGTTTTTGTGTTGTAGTAGTTGTAGGTTTTTGTGTTGTAGTTGTAGTTGTAGTTGTAGTTTTGTTTTTTTTGTGTGGTAGTTGTAGGTTTTTGTGTGTTGTAGTTGTAGTTGTGTTTTTGTGTGTAGTAGTTGCCTGTGTAGTTGTAGTTGTAGGTTTTTGTTTGTAGTTGTGTTTGTGTAGTAGTTGCCTGTGTAGTTGTAGTTGTAGGTTTTTTTGTGTTGTAGTAGTAGTTGCCTGTGTAGTAGTTGTAGGTTGTAGGTTTTTGTGTTGTAGTTGTAGTTTTTGTAGTGTTTTTGTGTTGTGTAGTTGTAGTTGTTTTTGTGTGGTAGTAGTTGTGTAGTTGTAGGTTGTGTGTAGTAGTTGTAGTGTTTTTTGTGTTGTAGTTGTAGTTGTTTTTTGTGTGTAGTAGTTTAGTTGCCTGTGTAGTTGTAGTTGTAGGTTTTTGTGTTGTAGTTGTAGTTTTTGTGTAGTTGTTAGCTGTGTAGTTGTAGTAGTTGTAGGTTTTTGTGTGGTAGTAGTTGCCTGTGTAGTTGTAGTTGTAGTAGTTTGTGTGTGTAGTGTAGTTGTGTTGTAGTTGTTTTTGTAGTGTTGTAGTTGTAGTTAGTTTTTGTGTGTTAGTAGTTGTAGTTTCCTGTTGTTGTAGTTGTAGTTGTAGTTGTTTTTGTGTTGTAGTTGTTTTTAGTTGTAGGTTTTTGTGTGGTAGTTGTAGTTGTTTGTGTAGTTGTAGGTTTTTGTGTAGTTGTAGGTTTTGTGTTGTAGTAGTTGTAGTTTTTGTGTCCTGTGTAGTTGTAGTTGTAGTTTTTGTAGGTTTTTGTGTGGTAGTAGTTGCCTGTGTAGTTGTAGTTGTAGGTTTTAGTAGTTTTTGTGTGGTAGTAGTTGCCTGTGTAGTTGTAGTTGTAGTTTTTGTAGGTTTTTGTGTTTGTAGTTTTTGTTAGGTTTTTGTGTGTAGTAGTAGTTGTAGGTTTTTGTGTTGTAGTTGTAGTTGTTTTTGTGTAGTAGTAGTTGTAGTTGTAGTTTGTTTTTGTGTGGTAGTTGTAGTTTGTTGTTTGTAGTTGTGGTAGTAGTTGCCTGTGTAGTTGTAGTTTTGTAGTTGTTTTTTGTGTGGTAGTAGTTGCTGTGCCTGTAGTAGTTGTAGGTTTTTGTGTTAGTTGTAGTTTTTGTGTTGTGTAGTAGTAGTAGTTGCCTGTGTAGTTGTAGTTTTTGTGTAGTTAGTTGTTGTAGTTGTAGTTTTTGTAGTTGTAGTTTTGTAGTTGTAGTTGTTTTGTGTTGTAGTTGTAGTTGTTGTTGCTTCTGTGTAGTTGTAGTTGTAGTTGTTTTTTTGTAGTGTAGTTGTGTGTAGTAGTTGTAGTTGTTTTTTGTAGTTGTAGTTTGTAGTTGTTTTTTGTAGTTGTAGTTTGTAGTTGTAGTTTTTGTAGGTTTGTGTGTAGTAGTTTTTAGTGTAGTTGTAGGTTTTTGTAGTTGTTTTTTGTGTTGTTAGTTGTAGTTGTAGTTTTTGTGTGTTGTAGTTGCCTGTGTAGTTGTAGTTGTAGGTTTTTGTGTGGTAGTAGTAGTTGTAGGTTTTTGTGTTGTAGTAGTTGTAGTTAGTGTTTTTGTGTGTTGTGTAGTAGTTGCCTGTGTAGTTGTAGTTGTAGTTTTTGTAGTTGTTAGTTTTTTGTGTGTGTAGGAGTTGCCTGTGTAGTTGTCGTTGCAGGCCTTGTTGTCTTTGTTGTTGGTTGCGTAGTCGTTGATAGGGTAGGAGAAGCCGTTGTGGTCGCGGTACTCGTTGAAGCATTGTACGTAAACCTCCCAACATTGCCCACACCATCCACCGCCACTATTTCAACCGTAGGACTGCAGCAGGAGTCGTTATAGGACACCACAGTTTCGTTTCCAGAGGTTTCCCATGTCCTACTGCCTCCTCGTTCATAAATAGTCTCGATACGTGTGTTGTCGGTCACTCGAACTGAGTACTGGCAGACGGAACTGTTGACGTCGGGGCAATGCGGTCGAGGAGACAGCAGCTCGAACTCAGGAGCCTGAATGTCCGTCACCTAAGACAAGAATTGAGAGAAGAACTAAATGAAACCTTGGATTACATTCATACCATGCTCCATACAGGCTTTTTGATGTGTTGTGGCTTTTGATGTGTTGTGGCATTGGTGTTTGTGTTGTGGCTCTTCTTGGTGTGTTGTGGCTTTTTGATGTGTTGTGTCATTTGCGTTTGTGTTGTGGCTTTTTAATGTGTTGTGGCTTTTTGATGTGTTGTGGCTTTTTAATGTTTTGTGTTTTTTTATGTGTTGTGGCTTTGGCGTTTGTGTTGTGGCTCTTTTTGGTGTGTTGTGGATTTTTGTTGTGTTGTGGCATTTTGCGTTGTGTGTGGCTTTTTGTGTGTGTTGTGGCTTTTTGATGTGTTTGTGGCTTCTTGATGTGTTGTGGCTTTTTGATGTGTTGTGGCTTCTTCGTGTGTTGTGGCTTTTTGATGTGTTGTGGCTTTTTTTAATGTGTTGTGGCTTTTTGACGTGTTGTGGCTTTTTGATGTGTTGTGGCATTGGCGTTTGTGTTGTGACTCTTCTTGGTGTGTTGTGGCTTTTTGATGTGTTGTGGCTTCTTGATGTGTTGTGGCTTTTTGATGTGTTGTGGCATTGGTGTTTGTGTTGTGACTCTTCTTGGTGTGTTGTGGCTTTTTGATGTGTTGTGGCTTCTTGATGTGTTGTGGCTTTTTAATGTGTTGTGGCTTTTTAATGTGTTGTGGCATTGGCGTTTGTGTTGTGGCTCTTCTTGGTGTGTTGTGGCTTTTTAATGTGTTGTGGCATTGGCGTTTGTGTTGTGGCTTTTTTTTTTTTTTTTTTGGTGTGTCGTGGCTTTTTTTTGGTCGTGTCGTCGCATTTGTATTTGTTGCGGCGTTTGCGTTTGTTGGACATTATGCAGCTAACAAACTAATGACACTTAATTTCTACCAAAAAAAGACACAAAGGTATGAAGTCATTTACATTTTTGTTGGCGGTAAAAGTCGTCACCGCGTAGTTGTAGCCCACGGCACCGGGAGCTTCAGCCATCACAGTGAGCGTAACCTCAGTAGCAAACTCTGTGCTGTTGGGAAATATTATTGTTTGAACCATGAAACTGGCGCTGCTATTTTTTAACACCTTGACGGTAGCCGGGGAAATGGTCTCGAAGTTTCTGGTATTTGTTGCTCTGATGGTGAATTCGTCTTCGTTTTCCCCTTCTGTTCGATAGTTTGAAATGGTGATATTTACGTCTTGAGTTATGTCTGGTTTACTCACGGTCTCCAGTATACTCTATAAAGAAAGAAGAGAAGATTTACGTTCATTGTAGTTCTAAATTATGGTTCAATGGCTTTATTATTACTATGCTGCAAAGGAATAAGTGTGCATTGAGTGACAGTAGTCAAGTGTATTAACTCTTTCCCCCCTGGACGCCGACTAGGAACAACCCAGACATATGTTACTAGTTCTGCCCATAGAGCATAAGTGCATAAAAGAAAACAGACCACCACGAGTGATTATAAATTATTTTTACACTCATGAACTTAATTGTAACACAGACATATTTGTATCTCTGGAAACCTCAGACTCTTCATTTCTGGATGTTTAAATGTGATTCAACTCATTTACAGGTTTATAACAGCTCACTGAAAATGAGAGTTTACCTGGTCAGGTGCAAAATCGAAAACAAAAAAACTACATTCCGCATCTAATCCATGTGTCATTCGTTCATTTGTTTTTCAATATAAAACCAAAAATAAGAAAACAAAAAAAACAACTGTTTTCTTCATTATTTGTCTCCAAAACCAAAATAAAAAAACAGATAACGATTCGTTTTTTCAGTTTTCGATTTTGTGTTTAAATGAAGAATGGAAAAAACGGATAACGGCCGTTTCCTGTTTACGTGACTTCAGTGACTGAGATGCCGAACTTTTACACCACGTACGGACTGAACCAGGACTGATCCAGGTCTGAGACCAGACCAGGACCAGACCAAAACTGAGAACAAGACCAGTGGTCCGAGTGGTTCCGTGTCATCGTCTGTGTGCTGGTTCCGTGTGGGGAAAGTGAGAATGTTCTGTGGACTACAGGTCCGGACGAGCTGCTCCAGTCCTCCACACTCAAGAACCACGACTGGTTCCGAGGTGGTGCAAAAGACACTGACTTTTCACACCAATGAAAACAAACCAAACTAAGAGTTTTTGGTTTCAAATGGACCAGACCGGCACCAGACCGGGACCAGACCGGAGGCTCAGAACCCACGGCAGGGCCGGAGCTCGAAGCTGAGGCTCAGACCCTGTGGAGGCTCAGAGTCAAAGCTCGGAGTCCGCCCTGGTCCTGCCCTGGTCCCGCCCTGGTCCCGCTCTGGTCCCGGTCTGTCCCGGTCTCAGTCCCACTCTGGTCCCGGTGTAAAGGTTTCAAACTACCCCCGGTTTCAAAGTACTGGGGGGTAGCTTGAAGCTGGTTTGTAATTACCCCCCGGTAATTTGAAAACGGTTTCAAGCTACCCCCCTTAACCCTAACCCCCTAAAACTGGTTTCAATTACCGGGGTAATTTTTGAAGGGGGTAGTTTGAAAACGCTACACCGGTCTGGACAGTCCGGTTCAGTCCGTACGTGGTGCAAAAGTTCGGCATCTCAGTCACTGAAGTCACGTCAACGGGAAACGGTCGTTATCCGTTTTTTTCCATTCTTCATTTAAACACAAAATCGAAAACTGAAAAAACAAATCATTATCTGTTTTTTTAATTTTGGTTTTGGAGACAAATAATGAAGAAAACTGTTGTTTTTTCGTTTTCTTATTTTTGGTTTTATATTGAAAAACGAATGAACGAATGATACACGGATTCCATCTGATATCTGCATGTTCTGAGTACTGTATTCATAAAAAAAAATAAAAATATACTTTGTCAAAGTATTTAAACAGATTTCATATCACCAGATACAGTAAAGCCAAGTGTGCACCTGTTTTTTACCTGTTGTTCACCTGTGTGGACCTCATTCATTTTTTCCATTTAATTTATTCAACTCATTTAACTTATTATAATATAATAATATAATAATAAAACTCTTCCCTGTCAGTGTGTGTCCAGTATTTGTCATCTTTGTTACTTTCTCGTGTGCAGAGCTCCACATAAACGTTTGTTTCTGTAGTGATTCTGTTACATCGCATCTTGGAAAAAAAGACTGAAATATTTTAAAGGACTCGTCTGAGAAACATCCAGATTTCAGGGCAGTTTTGGTTCATAATCGAGTATAAAGCTCAGATAGTTTGTTTGGACATCGCAGGACTCCACACAGACGCATCAGCGACATTCTCATCTTCGTAAGTTTCACTCTCTGAAAGTCCGTCGCTGTCGCTGTTTTCCACTTTATAATCAACTTCATCATCACTTTTGAAATCTATAAAAGTCACTTTCTCTAAACTTATCCATAAAATACATCCACTCCTCATTATTTCTATTACTGTGCGCCGCGATCTTTCCATTGCTCCTGTTTCGTGTTGTGTTTTTTCCAGAAGCTACAATCGTCACTACTTTGATTAACTTCGGAAAAAATCGGCGAAAACATGTCCTTGAATCCTGTTGGTCAGTCTGGTGTGGGTTGTAGTGGCCCCGACCTGTCACAGTCTCTGTTTACATGTGAAAAACCGAGTAGTTTCTAATGGTCGTCAAATCTTTACTGAAACAGCAGAGGAGTCAAAAGTCGTCATTAAGGAAACAAGGAGGGTCGTCAAATGTCGTCTTCAAAAGAGTTAAGTGTACTCACGGCGGTAATGCTGACAAATGAGCCTTTGGTGTTGACGTTTGATTGCCGTTGGTAAATCTCCGGTGTGGATCTGGTCGGTCTCGAGCTGGAGTCTCTCTGCAGCTCCACCAGAACAGTAAACTCCTCAGATGGGATTTCGTCAAAATCAACTAAGTATTCGTTATTTTCCTGTCCGGTAATGTTGCCTTTCAACCGTCCAGACCCAGACGACTTGACGAGATACACGTCTGTCAGCTTTGTTGTGTCGCTCCCAAAGAGCACCACCATCAAAGTACCAGGGAGCACTGTAGGAAAAGCAGTATGTTTGAGTGTGTGTACAATTAAACTCTTCTTATAATAAATCAATTCATCATCACAAATTATTAGTGCATATTTAGTACACAGTGTAACAGTCTTATAACCCCAAACCTAAATTGGGGTCTGGGCAAGTGGTAACGGAGGGAAACAGGGTCAGATTTTTGACATTCAAATGTCTCTTATTCAGAAACTAGAGGAACTATTGAAATAAGTAAAAGTATCAGAATGTAGGAAAGAGTTACACTCCAACAGGGTCAAGTTAAACCTGTGATATTCTTTCAAGTTCAAGACAAAAAATTTAAAAACTCATGTCGGTAACGGAGGGAATGAAATATGCAGCACTTTTTGGTCAATAAATCCAAACAGTGATAACTCTTGGTTCTCACTTCCATATCCTTAACAAACTGGTTTGAATATTTGCTTCATATAGTTTTCTACCATATGGTACAAGATTAGGTTGAAAAACCTCTGACTTTTTGACTCATGAGATTTTTTTTATTAAGAAAGGTCATGGTAACGGAGGGAAAAGTAACGGAGGGAAAATTGTACAAACAAGTAGAAGGTGCATGATTTTACATCATTTGTTTATTTTTTTCTTCTGAAAACTTTAATATTACTTCAAAATGAAAGGAAACTATTTCTATAAAATATGTCAGTTCTTCCAAGCAAATTTTTATCATTTTAAATACATTTAAAAAAAAATCATGTACCTTGATCAACAGTTCAAAGATGGAATAACACAAAGATATGATGAAATACATCAATTTATTTACATGATTTTTGGGTCTTTGAAATTTGGGAAATAATGTTTGTTCCATGTTTCATACATGGTCTGTTTAAAACGGATGGAACTTTAGAACCAAAAGTGGTACAGAAAAAAGGTCAACAGTTTGATAAACTAGAGTACATATGTATCTGTTCAATACAGTTTTATATCAGATACTTTAACTTGAAGTTTTAGCCTTGTTGTTTACTTCTGCTTGACTGGGCTCACTGATTTTGTTGCTATTTTTGATCAAATTAGTATTAATACTTACTTGCTGCAGGCTTATTGGTGTTGACGACAAAACCATCGGAGCGTACTTGTGATGGCTTCATGAATCTGAAGAAGAAGCCATCTGAACTTTGAGCTTAAATGGAAAGAAAAGTAAACAACACAATCAAAATACATTTTGTAAAATATCCCCAAAGTCAATAAAAGTCTCACCCATGATGTTTAAGGTGTAAGGGGCTGAGGAGGTGATCCTTATTTCCCACAGCCCCTCTTCAGTGCTCAGCTTTAACTCCAGAAGGTTTCCCGCCTGTGTTGATGTGGCCAGTGGTCCGTCTAATGTCTCCTGATGAGTTCCTGTAATACGTCCATGATTCATTCATCCAGGTCATTCAACACAGAATAAGTGTAGCAAACAATACGCCTAACAAACTGTGATACTGTCTACACCGCACAATAACCCATGAATCCAACCTCCCTGAGCAACACCAGGTCTAAACCAGGTCTAAACCAGGTCTAAACCAGGACTAAACCAGGTCTAAACCAGGTCTAAACCAGGACTAAACCAGGTCTAAACCAGGACTAAACCAGGTCTAAAACCAGGACTAAACCAGGTCTAAACCAGGTCTAAACCAGGACTAAACCACTAGGTCTAAAACCAGGTCTAAACCAGGACTAAACCAGTAAAACCCGGACTAAAACCAGGTCTAAACCAGGTCTAAACCAGGTCTAAACCAGGTCTAAACCAACTAAACCAGGTCTAAAACCAGGACTAAAACCAGGTCTAAAACCAGGTCTAAACCAGGTCTAAAACCAGGTCTAAAACAGGACTAAACCAGGACTAAAACCAGGTCTAAAACCAGGTCTAAACCAGGTCTAAACCAGGTCTAAACCAGGTCTAAACCAGGACTAAAACAGGTCTAAAAACCAGGTCTAAACCAGGTCTAAACCAGGACTAAACCAGGTCTAAACCAGGACTAAAACAGGTCTAAAACCAGGACTAAAACCCGGACTAAAACAGGTCTAAAAACAGGCCTAAAACCAGGTCTAAAACCAGGACTAAAACAGGTCTAAAACCAGGACTAAAACCAGGTCTAAAACCAGGTCTAAAACCAGGTCTAAAACAGGTCTAAAACCAGGTCTAAAAACAGGTCTAAAACCAGGTCTAAAACCAGGTCTAAAACCAGGTCTAAACCAGGTCTAAAACCAGGTCTAAAACCAGGTCTAAACCAGGACTAAAACAGGTCTAAACCAGGTCTAAAACAGGTCTAAAACCAGGTCTAAACCAGGTCTAAATCCAGGACTAAATCGGGACTAAAACCAGGTCTAAACCAGAAACATTTTATGTGAAGATTTCCTCGTCTTTGTTTCTCTACAGCAAATCAAGTAATCCAAAGTAATCAGATTACATGACTCCCTTACATTTTGGTGTGTGTAATCTGTAATCTGTAATCTGTAGGGGATTACATTTTAAAAGTAAACTTCCCAACACTGATCAGGTGAAATAAAAAGAGTCTTGTACTCACCACACACTGTTTTCTTTCGATCAGTGTGAGGATTGAGTTTTTCTCCGTCTTGTCTTTCGCCGTTGCGTCGGTGAAAACGTAAACCTCCGATCCAGAAGGAAGCGCGGCGAGCGCGAGCTGCAGCAGAGCACGTTTACACCGGGATTTTATCATTTACACGTCATTTTAAAACTGGAATGTGTTGTTTAAGTGATTTAAGTGATTCGTTACATTAAAATATGACGTGTTTAAAATGTAAAACGTGACACGAATATTACAGAACTTTAATTTACTGTCGACAAAAGAACTGAGAAGATGATGAACCAGGACTAAACCAGAACTGAACTAAACCAGGACTAAACCAACCAGGACTAAACCAGGACTGAACCAGGACTAACCAGAACTGAACCAGGACTAAACCAGAACTGAACCAGGACTAAACCAGGACTAAACCAGGACTACCAGGACTAAACCAGAACTGAACCAGGACTAAACCAGAACCAGGACTGAAACCAGGACTAAACCAGAACTGAACCAGGACTAAACCAGGAACCAGGACTAAACCAGGACTAAACCAGGACTAAACCAGAACTAAACCAGGACTAAACCAGGACTAAACCAGAACTGAAACCAGGACTAAACCAGGTCTAAACCAGGACTAAACCAGGACTAAACTTGGTCTAAACCAGGACTAAACCAGGACTAAACTAGGACTAAACCAGGACTAAACCAGGACTAACTAGGACTAAAACCAGGACTGAACCAGGACTAAAGGACTAAAACCAGGACTAAACCAGGGCTAAACCAGGTCTAAACCAGGACTAAACCTAAACCAGGACTAAAGGACTAAACCAGGTCTAAACCAGGACTAAACCAGGACTGAACTAGGTCTAAACCAGGACTAAACCAGGACTGAACTAGGACTAAACCAGGACTGAACCAAGGACTGAACTAGGACTAAACCAGGACTAAAACCAGGGCTAAACCAGGTCTAAACCAGGACTAAACTAGGACTAAACCAGGACTAAACCAGGTCTAAACCAGGACTAAACCAGGTCTAAACCAGGACTAAACCAGGACTAAACCAGGTCTAAACCAGGACTAAACCAGGACTGAACCAGGACTAAACCAGGACTAAACCAGGACTAAACCAGAACTGAACCAGGACCAAACTAAGAAGAAAAACGAAAAACCCACCACTTCAATCCAGGTTAAAAATGCATTGGGTCCAGTCAAGTGGTAACGGAGGGAAAATTGTTCAAACAAGTAGAAGGTGCAGGATTTTACATCATTTGTCACTTTTTTCTTCCAAATACTTTAATATTACTTCAAAATGAAAGGAAACTATTTCTATAAAATATGTCAGTCCTTCCAAGAACATTTTTATCATTTTAAATACATTTTTTTTGAAAAATCCTGTCCCTTCATCAACAGTTCAAAGATGGAATAACACAAGATATGATGAAATACATCCATTTATTTACATGATTTTTGGGTCTTTGAAATTTGGGAAATAATTTTTTGTTCCATGTTTCATACATGGTCTGTTTTTAAAACAGATGGAACTTTAGAACCAAAAATGGTCCAGAAAAAAGGTCAACAGTTTGATAAACTAGAGTACATATGTATCTGTTCAATACATTTTTATATCAGATGAATTAAAGGGATAGTTCAGGTTTTTTGACATGAATCTGTGTGTCGTCCCAGTCAGCAGTGTGGTGCATCCACACTGAGATCCTGGACGGTTTTGGTGATGAGGAAAGTAGTTTGGCAAGTTGTCTGGGGACTGTATAATAAAGCATTTTTCTTCTCAAAACAATATGTGTTAAAAAGAGTGATGCATTTGCACCACAAAACCTCCGTCCTCTAAAAAGTCAAACCTCATAATCACTTGATGCTATTTTCTCTCCGTTCATATCACTGCGCCTGTTTCACTTTGTTTACTGCTCGGAATGTTGGCCTTTTCTCTCTCTCTGCCCGGTCTAACTCTCTCTGGCAAATTTTGGCATTGGTATATTCAGGTTCAAAAAGATCTCCCATTGTCTCTGTGCCAAAACCAGTTTCTTCATCATTGGTGTCTTAGTCAGACATGTTGTTGCTGACATTCCGAGCAGTTAACAAAGTGAAACAGGCGTGGCTGTCCCAGTTCCCAGACAACTTGCCAAACTACTTTCGTCATCACCAAAACCGTCCAGGATCTCAGCTCACCGGACGCTTTCGGAGGTAAAGTCAGTGTGGATCAGAGGTGCTCAATACGTCGATCTCGATCTACCAGTCGATCGCCAAGGTCGTGTGGGTAGATCTCCGTGTCTCGTCTCGGACTCGTGTTTGGACTCGGTCTTGTCTCTCACTCGAGGTGTGACACTCAACAAGTGTGATCATATTTCATTCCGGCCGCTGCTGTTGGTAATAAACTTGTAGCGGGTGCAGGAGCGTGTGGGGCGTCTCAGTGCAGCCTGTGCGCTCATTGAAACCCGCGGAGACTCTACGGCGCATCACAAACACACACGCTCCCTATGCACGGCTCGTCTGCGACAGCGTGTGCCCTCGTGTACCAGCGTGCATCACAGGGCAGGTTCAACTTCCTAAACATCCTACCTGTCCACCTGCCTCACGTCAGCACGCCGCCCCTCGCCTTTTCACGCTCTCGCTCCTTCCTGCGTACAGCGAACACAAGCCCCTCCCACAGTGCGGCTGATTAGAAGAGCAAGACCAAACGTGAAGCAAAAACCAGTCTAAATTTGTGTTCCAGTGTTGGCACAAAGCAGGTCTACAGCATAGAGCGGATCTACAGAACAGACCTACTGCCACATTTGGCTGAAGTTTGTCTAACAAAAGTGACAAATGCATCTGTGTTTGTCACGATGTGCGTTTGGTTTGGTAAACGTGCAGAGGCTGGTAAATATCACTGCAAAACCAGAAAAGAATGAAACTCCAGTTTGGAACTTTAAAAAACAGGTTTAAAAATCTTCCTTCACTTTTTTCACAGTTTTGTGTAAAGTGTCAGAGGAAGTTCTCTTAAAGAAGAGGTTCTCAAACTGTGGGGGAGGGTCCAAAAAAGGGGCACAGAGTGTTTCAGTGCAGTTTGTTTGACTTTGTATTAGGTCGATCATTTTGACTTGGTCATTTTATAAGAAGCTCACATGATGAAAAAGTGTGAACACCTCTGATGTGGATGAAACACAGATTCATGTCAAAAAACCTGAACTATCCCTTTAACTTGAATTTTTGGCCTTTCTGTTAACTTCTGCTTGACCGGGACCATTGTAACGCGCATCACTGACATTTGTACCGAGTAAAATATTACATTTTTTCCCTGTAATGCCTTTACTTTACATTACTGCGTTACAGCAAAAAGCAACACATTACAGTAAATCGTTACTTTTAAAACACTGGTTGCAGAATGATACAAAAAAATTCATGTTCTTAAATACCTTTAATCCTGAGAGAGACATTTCAGGCTCATCTCCACCTCCAGATGCAGACAGTTTATTAATCGCATTTTTAAACTCCGATATGTCTGTCGTCTGTGTGACTGGTCCAAATTCTGATTCGTAACAAAATCACAAAGAACGGATCAAGTTTGAGAGATTTACTAAGACGATTAAAAGTGAAGTGACTTTACCTGGGTCGTTAAATGGGACGAGGAAATAATCCGAAGGCTCGTTTTCGGTTCCCACGAGGTTGTTTATTATCGTCGACGTCACATACTTGACCACTTCAATGACATATCCCATACTCCCCGTTGTGTCAATCACAAAACATAAAGCTTTGCCTGGGCTGAGCCCCATCGTACTGAAAGAAACCATCACAATTATAAAAATAGTCTTAATAAATAAGGATCATCTGAGCCAAACAGTTGGATGTACTGAGCAAACTGTGTGGACTAAACCAGGTCTAAACCAGGACTAAACCAGGTCTAAACCAGGAAACCAGGACTAAACCAGGTCTAAACCAGGACTAAACCAGGTCTAAACCAGGAAAACCTAAACCAGGACTAAACCAGGAAACTAAACCAGGACTAAACCAGGACTAAACTAAACCAGGTCTAAACCAGGACTAAACCAGGACTAAACCAGGTCTAAACCAGGTCTAAACCAGGACTAAACCAGGACTAAACCAGGACTAAACCAGGTCTAAACCAGGTCTAAACCAGGACCCAGGACTAAACCAGGACAGGGACTAAACAAAGACTAAAACCAGACTAAACCAAGTCTAAACCAGGGACTAAACCAGGACTAAACCAGGTCTAAACTAGGACTAAACCAGGACTAAAAAACTAAACCAGGTCTAAACCAGGACTAAACCAGGACTAAACAAAACCAGGTCTAAACCAAAGACTAAACAAAGGACTAAACCAGGACTAAACCAAAGGACTAAACCAGGACTAAACCAGGACTAAACCAGGTCTAAACTAAAGGACTAAACAAAGACTAAACCAGGTCTAAACCAGGACTAAACCAAGGACTAAACCAGGTCTAAACCAGACTAAGGTCTAAACCAGGACTAAACCAGGTCTAAACCAGGACTAAACCAGGACTAAACCAACTAAACAAAGACTAAACCTAAACCAGGACTAAACCAGGTCTAAACCAGGACTAAACCAAAGGACTAAACCAGGTCTAAACCAGGTCTAAACCAGGACTAAACCAGGAAAACCAGGAACTAAACAAAAGACTAAACCAGGTAAACCAGGACTAAACCAGGACTAAACAAAGACTAAACCAGGTCTAAACCAGGACTAAACCAGGACTAAACAAAGACTAAACCAGGACTAAACCAGGACTAAACCAGGACTAAACCAGGTCTAAACCAGGTCTAAACCAGGACTAAACCAGGTCTAAAACCAAACTGTTGTAGCAGTGTGCGCCTGCTGCCTTCTGCCACCAGGTGGCGCCTGGGCTTATAAAAGGGCACTCCCCGTAGCGCCTCGTTCTCTGACCTTGGCGCACTTCCGGGATTAGGCTCCGCATTGTCGCGCACAAGTAAACAACCGCTGTTCTCTAATCACAATTGTGATTTTATAATTGAATGTGTGGCTTTATTGTGGTGCCACTGCTCCTCGAGTCCTGATGCGCCCGAGCGAAGTTATGGCTCGTGAGTTTCTGGGCCATGTCCAGTGGCGTTGTTGGTTTTATGTTAATTATATGACTTTGGGGTTCTCCTACACACCCCTCCCATATGCGCCGCTCCCACACTGTGATAGAAAAATGTAACCGCCCGTTTACTCTTGTAACTTGTGTGATTCAGTAAATACGCAGCGGCGGGAAAGTGACCCTTCGACAGTTAAGAGCTGCAGCGGCGCCACTGTCCCTCGCCGCGAGTAAAACCCTGAATTCTGCCTTCTGAGTTTATTTCTGTTCATATCTCTGTTATTTTCTGACAGTTCTATTCAGTTTTCTTAGATTTTTTTTGCACGCCGTACTGTTTCATACCGTAAAAAGTCTTTGTGCCCGACCGTGGCGAGCACGTCGTCCAGCAGCTCGGAGGTGGCGGCTGTTGCTACTTGTGCTGCTTTCAGGTGCAGATGTCCGTGGGAGGATTTCACACCGTCTTTGTTTATTCCACCTGTGGCGTCGCTGTGCCTTGTATTGTCCCTCCTGTCTCCGTGGCTACATTTCCCTGTGAAAAGCAATTTGTAAAAATAATTCTGCAGATTTTAAAATAAACTATTGAGAACATTAGGTGATATTTACTATGTACTAGTACACAGTGAGGAAAATAAGTACCCTATTAACCGCAACTAAAAATGACCGCGCCCCGCAATCCAGAGCACCCCATACACGAATCCACTCAGGTGTCCCAACACGACTTCAGTAAACTACAAAGCCGCAGCACCCGCAGACCCACAGACACACACATCACTCCACGCCAACGAGGAACGGAACAGAGGAACGAACTGAAAAAGCGAGTGCAACGTGCCGCTTAAATGTACCAAATAAATGGATGTATTCCATCATATCTTGTGTTATTCCATCTTTGAACTGTTGATGAAGGTACAGGATTTTTCAAAAAAAAAAAAAAAAATGTATTTAAAATGATAAAAATGTTCTTGGAAGGACTGACATATTTTATAGAAACTGTTTCCTTTCATTTTGAAGTAATATTAAAGTATTCGGAAGAAAAAAGTTGACAAATTATGTAAAATCCTGCACCTTCTACTTGCGTTGCACAATTTTATGAAGCCATCACACTCTGATGGTTACGTCATCAACACCAATAAGCCTGCAGCAAGTAAGTATTAATACTAATTTGATAAAAAATAGCAACAAAATCAATGGTCCTGGTCAAGCAGAAGTAAACAACAAGGCCAAAACTTCAAGTTAAAACATCTGATATAAAAATGTATTGAACAGATACATATGTACTCTAGTTTATCAAACTGTTGACCTTTTTTCTGTTCCATTTTTGGTTCTAAAGTTCCATCTGTTTTAAACAGACCATGTATGAAACATGCAACAAACATTATTTCCCAAATTTCAAAGACCCAAAAATCATGTAAATAAATGGATGTATTTCATCATATCTTGTGTTATTCCATCTTTGAACTGTTGATGAAGGTTCATGATTTTTTTTTTTTTAAGTATTTAAAATGATTAAAATGTTCTTGGAAGGACTGACATATTTTATAGAAATAGTTTCCTTTCATTTAGAAGTAATATTAAAATATTCAGAAGAAAAAAGCCACAAATGATGTAAAATCCTGCACCTTCTACTTGTTTGTACAATTTTCCCTCCGTTACTTTTCCCTCCGTTACCATGACCTTTATTAATAAAAAATCTCATGAGTCAAAAAGTAAGAGGTTTTTCAACCTAATCTTGTACCATATGGTAGAAAACTATATGAAGCAAATATTCAAACCAGTTTGTTAAGGATATGTAAGTGAGAACCAAGAGTTATCACTGTTTGGATTTATTGACCAAAAAGTTGAAATTGAAAGAATCTCACAGGTTTAACTTGACCCTGTTGGAGTGTAACTCTTTCCTACATTCTGATACTTTACTTATTTCAATAGTTCCTCTAGTTTCTGAATAAGAGACATTTGAATGTCAAAAATCTGACCCTGTTTCCCTCCGTTAACACTTGACCGGACCCTTATTTTCCTCACTGTAAGTAAAAGTACATAAATTACCTATTGGCTTGTTATTAAAGGGAAACGGGGAGAAGTAGCCAGAAGTCAGAAGGTTTTCCTGGAGAATATCTTCCAAAATGTTGTTGGTGCAGTTTTCAGTGCAGTTACGGCAGGTTGGTTTGTTTTTGGCTAAAAAAGTATAAAGTCATTTTCAGATGGTTTTTAGATTTGGGATTTGTGCTTCTTAAGTGTCTTGTATAAGTTTAGCTGCAAACCTGCTGCAGTCTCCAGCGCCGCATCTTTCCTGATCAGATTTTTGTTTGGCAGATCGTTGCCCAGTTCTATCCAGTTGCTGTGACTGTAGAAATCCTGTTAAGAGCAAATATTATTCTGATTGTCTCATATTTAAAATAGTTATATTTAACTGATGTAACTGAAAATGAAATGCATGAGCCTGAAATAAATCAAACCTGTAAAGTGTGTAAGATTTCTCCAAGTTTATATCTCGCTGCAGCATAGTTTCCTCTCTTGATGTTGGCTTTTACTATGTACAGTCCGTCTGTGATCAGCTCCTTTCCTTCGTCAAAACTTTCATCGTCAAAATGGTGCCTTGAGGATCGGTCATAATCAACATTGACTAAAGAATTAAAAGCTTTGATCTCAAATTTATTCATGGCAAAATTCCTGGCTGAACTTGTGGCTGCACATGCTTCAAGGAGAGACTGTGCTGTCAGTGTGGCCTGCAATAAAATATAAACATTTAAATAAAAAAAAACCCTCATTGGAATAGTTTGTACTTTACTCGTTACGACGATCAGACAGATTGTTTTACCGGGGATGTGAACTCCCTGCCCTCCTCCCGGGCCAGAGCGCGGCAGGCCCGGGCGGTCACCTCTAAAATGGCCTGTTCAGTGATTTCCCAGTGACTCTGAGAATCAGGGTCTTGATCCAGTTTGAATCCACCAACTCCTGTTGTTAAAAACAACAAACTCAACAACAAGAGTCCAGACATCAGCTGTGTTCTTCTAGTCACGATCTTCCCCAACCTGAAATAGAAACACGATAAGAACCGTGTCGGACAGGTCTACCAGGTCTAAAACCAGGTCTAAAACCAGGTCTAAACCAGGTCTAAACCAGGTCTAAACCAAGTCTAAACCAGGTCTAAACCAGGTCTAAACCAGGTCTAAAACCAGGTCTAAACCAAAAACCAGGTCTAAAAAAAACCAGGTCTAAACCAGGTCTAAACCAGGTCTAAACCAGGTCTAAACCAGGTCTAAAACCAGGTCTAAACCAGGTCTAAAACGTCTAAACCAGGTCTAAACCAGGTCTAAAACCCAGGTCTAAAACCAGGTCTAAAACCAGGTCTAAACCAGGTCTAAAAGGTCTAAAACAGGTCTAAACCAGGTCTAAAACCAGGTCTAAACCAGGTCTAAACCAGGTCTAAACCAGGTCTAAACCAGGTCTAAACCAGGTCTAAAACCAGGTCTAAACCACCAGGTCTAAACCAGGTCTAAACCAGGTCTAAACCAGGTCCAGGTCTAAAACTAAAACAGGTCTAAACCAGGTCTAAACCAGGTCTAAACCACCAAAACCAGGTCTAAACCAGGTCTAAACCAGGTCTAAAACCAGGTCTAAAACCAGGTCTAAACCAGGTCTAAAACCAGGTCTAAACCAGGTCTAAAACCAGTCTAAACCAGGTCTAAACCAGGTCTAAACCAGGTCTAAAACCAGGTCTAAACCAGGTCTAAACCAGGTCTAAACCAGGTCTAAACCAGGTCTAAACCAGGTCTAAACCAGGTCTAAACCACCAGGTCTAAACCAGGTCTAAACCAGGTCTAAACCAGGTCTAAAACCAGGTCTAGGGGTCTAAACCAGGTCTAAACTAAACCAGGTCTAAAACCCTAGGTCTAAACGGTCTAAATCTAAACCAGGTCTAAATCAGGTCTAAACCAGACCTGTCTCCTCCTCTTCTATCAATCATATTTTTAAAGACTCGATTTCCTCGTCTTTGTTTCTCTACAACAAATCAAATAATCCAAAGTATTCAGATTACATTACTCACTTTAAGTAATTTAATGGATTATGTTACAAACTACATTTTGGTGTGTGTAATCTGTAATCTGTAATCTGTAATCTGTAGGGGATTACATTTTAAAAGTAAACTTCCCAACACTGGAATAAAATGGAGCTAAAATAGTGTAGAACAAGTTTGAATCTTTTTAAAAGGAGGTGAGTCTCTAATATCATTTTACTGGAGGATTGAGAAAAAAGTCATAACATTTCTACATTACATCACAATTTTTACAAGAATAAAGTTACAATTTTGTTATAATGAAATCATAGTTACAGTTACAGTTTTACAATTTGGATCTAAACCGATCTAAACTGATAAAAAAAAAAAATAATAATAATAATAATAATAATTTTGCTGGCGTTTTGAGAAAAAAGTCATAACATTTCTATATTACGTCACAATTTTACGAGAATAAAGTTTTTTGTTTTTTTTTTATAATAAAGTTGTAATTTTATGAGAATAAAGTTGTCATTGTACAAGAATGAAGTTGTAGTCAAAGTAAAGATGTAACTTTATGAAAATCCAGTTTGTATTTGATGCGTAGAAGCAGAGATGTTGAAATTTTACAACTTTATTCTCATAATCTCATAATTCTCATCATTTATTTTTTTATATGACTCTTATAGTCCTTTGTAGAGGCGTTTACCATCTCACGTCTCGTTGGTTGTTTTTTTTAGTCTTAGTATAAATCCTTAGATCAACACAATAAGGGAATAAACTGTTCCTTTCATTTTTGTGAACGACACCACTGCAAAATTCAAACTAAACACTTTAATGTCGTGTTCGTGCTGTGTAAACTTTGCTCCGAGGCAAGAAAAGTGACGTAAAGAAGCTTTTTTTACCACAGCGTTATGTGAAAATGAAGGAGACTTTCAGGCATTTTCACTTTGAGTTTGCTCTTCCTTGAATTTGCATAAGATCATTTAAAAGGTTTAGATTTTCTTTGGACCTTGGGTTTGGACCTGGTTTAGATCTGGTTTAGACCTGGTTTAGACCTAGTTTTAGACCTGGTTTAGTCCTGGTTTAGACCTGGTTTAGACCTGTTAAATCCTGTTTAGACCTGGTTTTAGTCCTGCTTTAGTCCTGCTTTAGTCCTGGTTTAGACCTGCTTTAGTCCTGGTTTAGACCTGGTTTTAGACCAGGTTTAGAACTGGTTTGAACCTGGTTTTAGACCTGGTTTAGTCCTGGTTTAGACCTGATTTAGTCCTGGTTTAGACCTGGTTTATTCCTGGTTTAGTCCTGGTTTAGACCTGATTTAGTCCTGGTTTAGACCTGGTTTAGTCCTGGTTTAGACCTGATTTAGACCTGGTTTAGTCTTGGTTTAGTCCTGGTTTAGTCCTGGTTTAGTCCTGGTTTAGACCTGGTTTAGTCCTGGTTTAGTCCTGGTTTAAACCTGATTTAGACCTGGTTTAGTCTTGGTTTAGTCCTGGTTTAGACCTGGTTTAGACCTGGTTTAATCCTGGTTTAGACCTGGTTTAGTCCTGGTTTAGTCCTGGTTTAGACCTGGTTTAGTCCTGGTTTAGACCTGGTTTAATCCTGGTTTAGTCCTGGTTTAGACCTGGTTTAGTCCTGGTTTAGTCCTGGTTTAGACCTGGTTTAGTCCTGGTTTAGACCTGGTTTAGTCCTGGTTTAGACCTGGTTTAGTCCTGGTTTAGTCCTGGTTTAGACCTGGTTTAGACCTGGTTTAGTCCTGGTTTAGACCTGGTTTAGTGTCCAGCAATGAGTGGAATTGCTGAAGAAAAAAAAAAAGAAAAAAAAGAAAAGGGATTTAGCCCAAAATGTGAAAACAGTAAAATCCCTCTGTATAATCCATTTACTTCAACAAAGTAACTGTAATCCAATTCCCACTCACTGAAACAGTAACTGTAACTGAGTACAGTTACTCATCATTATTACATCCATATCAATTAAATATTAATAATTAATAAACAAAAAGACAAATAGAGACTTACTGTGTCTGGTGACGGCCGCTCGAGTGATTCACCACAGTTTGGATCTAAACCAGAGACGTCAGAAGAGACTGGTTCAACCTGTTGAACAATTCAGTGGAAAAAGTTTTAAATATAAAAAGAAATAAATAAACAAACACCGGTGTTCACCTGTGTTCACCGGTGAACACCGGTGTTCACCTGTGTTCACGGTGTGTTCACCAGTGTTCACCTGTGTTCACCACTGTGTGTTCACCAGTGTTCACCAGTGTTCACCTGTGTTCACCAGTGTTCACCTGTGTTCACCTGTGTTCACCAGTGTTCACCTGTGTTCACCTGTGTTCACCAGTGTTCACCTGTTCACCTGTGTTCACCAGTGTGTTCACCGTGTTCACGTGTCACCTGTGTTCACCAGTGTTGTGTTCACCTGTGTTCACCTGTGTTCACCTGTTCACCTGTGTTCACCAGTGTTCACCAGTGTTCACCTGTGTTCACCAGTGTTCACCTGTGTTCACCTGTGTTCACCTGTGTTCACCGTGTGTTCACCGGTGTTCACCTGTGTTCACCGGTGTTCACCAGTGTTCACCAGTGTTCACCAGTGTTCACCTGTGTTCACCAGTGTTCACCTGTGTTCACCTGTGTTCACCAGTGTTCACCTGTGTTCACCTGTGTTCACCTGTGTTCACCTGTGTTCACCTGTGTTCACCTGTGTTCACCGTGTTCACCAGTGTTCACCTGTGTTCACCTGTGTTCACCTGTGTTCACCAGTGTTCACCGGTGTGTTCACCGGTGTGTTCACCTGTGTTCACCTGTGTTCACCGGTGTTCACCTGTGTTCACCTGTGTTCACCTGTGTTCACCTGTGTTCACCAGACCAAACACATTTACACGTTACACTGCAAACTCACGCAAACTGTTTGTACCAAGAAGGAGCCAGAGTTGGGAAGGTGACTTTTAAAATGTAATCCAGATTACAGATTACAGATTACAGATTACAGATTACACACACCAGAATGTAGTTTGTGACGTAATCCATTAAGTTATTTAAAGTGAGTAATGTAATCTGAATACTTTGGATTATTTGATTTGCTGTAGAGGAACAAAGACGAGGAAATCTTCACATAAAATGTTTTATCTGATAAAAGAAAATAAACAGGCCGAGTCTTCAAAAAGATTATTGATAGAAGAAGAGGAGACAGGTCTCGTTTAGACCTGGTTTAGACCTGGTTTAGACCTGGTTTAGACTTGGTTTTAGACCTGGTTTAGACCTGGTTTTAGACCTGGTTTAGACTTGGTTTTAGACCTGTTTTAGACCTGGTTTAGACCTGTTTTAGACCTGGTTTAGACCTGGTTTTAGACCTGGTTTTAGACCTGGTTTAGACCTGGTTTTAGACCTGGTTTAGACCTGGTTTAGACTTGGTTTTAGACCTGGTTTAGACTTGGTTTTAGACCTGGTTTAGACTTGGTTTTAGACCTGGTTTAGACTTGGTTTTTGACTTGGTTTAGACTTGGTTTAGACCTGGTTTTAGACCTGGTTTAGACCTGGTTTTAGACCTGATTTAGACCTGGTTTAGACTTGGTTTTAGACCTGGTTTAGACTTGGTTTAGACCTGGTTTAGACCTGGTTTAGACCTGGGTTTAGACCTGGTTTTAGACCTGGTTTAGACCTGGTTTAGACCTGATTTAGACCTGGTTTTAGACCTGGTTTAGACCTGGTTTAGACTTGGTTTTAGACCTGGTTTTAGACCTGGTTTAGACTTGGTTTAGACTTGGTTTTAGACTTGGTTTAGACCTGGTTTAGACCTGGTTTTAGACCTGGTTTTAGACCTGGTTTAGACTTGGTTTAGACTTGGTTTTAGACTTGGTTTAGACCTGGTTTAGACCTGGTTTTAGACCTGGTTTTAGACCTGGTTTAGTCCTGGTTTAGACCTGGTTTAGTGTCCGGCGATGAGTGTAATTACCGAGAAAACAAAGTAACTGTAATCCAATTCCCACTCACTGAAACAGTAACTGTAACTGAATACAGTTACTCATCATTTGTACTCTGATTACTCCAGTACTTGTAATCTGTTACTGTCCGACACTGGTAGGAGCCTGGTTAAATCTAAATGTTTTATATCTATTGTTTTCTCCAATGGGTCAGACAGTCAAAACAGATTGAGATTAAATACCTAAACGTACGATGTCGTGTGTCGTGGTTCGTCATTAAAGAACATGTGACTACAAAGCCAAACAAACTGCACTGAAACACTCTGCGCCTCTTTTGTGGAGCCTCACCCTCAGTTTAAGAACCACTTCTATAACAGAACTTTCAACAGCACTTTACACAAAACTGAAAAAAAAAGTGATTTTTAAACCTGTTTTTTTCAAGTTTCTCACTGGAGTCACATGGTTCGTACTAGTTTTACAGTGGGATTCAGCCTCTGCACATTTACCAAACTAAACCCAGATGTATTTGTGCACATTTATTAGGCAAACTTCAGCCACATGTCGCGGTAGGTCGACTCTGCGCTGTTGGCGTCGTCTGTACCAACACTGGAACATACATTTAGATCAGTTTTTGCTTCGCGTTTTGTCTTGTCTTGTAAATTATTAGTGCATATTTAGTACATAGTGTAACAGTCTTATAATCCCAAACCTAAACTGGGGTTCGGTCAAGTGGTAACGGAGGAAACAGGGTCAGATTTTTGACATTCAAATGTCTCTTATTCAGAAACTAGAGGGACTATTGAAATAAGTAAAGTATCAGAATGTAGGAAAGAGTTACACTCCAACAGGGTAAAGTTAAACCTGTGAGATTCTTTCAAGTTGTTGACAAAAAATTTAAAAACTCATGTCGGTAACGGAGGGAATGAAATATGCAGCACTTTTTGGTCAATAAATCCAAACAGTGATAACTCTTGGTTCTCACTTACATATCCTTAACAAACTGGTTTGAATATTTGCTTCATATAGTTTTCTACCATATGGTACAAGATTAGGTTGAAAAACCTCGTACTTTTTGACTCATGAGATTTTTTATTAAGAAAGGTCATGGTAACGGAGGGAAAAGTAACGGAGGGAAAATTGTACAAACAAGTAGAAGGTGCAGGATTTTACATCATTTGTCACTTTTTTCTTCTGAAAACTTTAATATTACTTCAAAATGAAAGAAACTATTTCTATAAAATATGTCAGTCCTTCCAAGAACATTTTTATCATTTTAAATACTGAAGACTGTATCAAGTGGTGGTTTGAATATTGTTTAATGAAGTTACACATTGAGTTGAAGCTTAAACACTGAGATCTTATCTGTTGAACAGCACCATTGTGTTTCTTACATAATGTGTGACCTATGTGCTTCTAAGCAAATTCCTTTACAGAACTGGACTGTGGAGATAAACAGCTGGTTTATCTAAACAGACTTGGTGTGATTTACAATGGTTTGGAGGGGGTTGTCACTTCCCCCAAAGAAGAAATGCTGACGCTTCAAGGCGACGATTCAAGGCGTGAAACATCTCATCATATTATTTGCATATTCATATGGATGTTTATAAAAACTGGGTTGAAGTATTCAGAGGCAGTCAGATGCCTGATGTAAATCCTCTGTAACTTTGTCGGCAGTTTTAGGGACAACGATTTGACCCAGAGCTCTGTATTAGAATTGTATTGTCAGGGGAATAAACTGATTTAAATTGATTGAGTCTAGTCATTTCTGATAGAACACGCCTAACAATACATAAAAAAAAATCATGTACCTTCATCAACAGTTCAAAGATGGAATAACACAAGATATGATGAAATACATCCATTTATTTACATGATTTTTGGGTCTTTGAAATTTGGGAAATAATTTTTGTTCCATGTTTCATACATGGTCTGTTTAAAACAGGGGGGTCGAACTCATTTTGTTCCGGGGTCGTGTCCAACCGACTTTGATCCCAAAGTGTCCGGATCAGAAAACTCATGTCATATAAACCCCAAAAATAACAATAAGTTCAAATATTTGTGCAGAGAAACACAAATCTATTACAGAAATCTTTTTTAATTGATGAACTCTTTCTTATTATAATATTATAATATATAATAATATTATGAACAACCTGAAACTTGAAGAAAAATTCAATTTCAACACAATGTTTTAACAATAACTTGTCTGTAAACATAAATCTGAGGTATTTGTACTTTAATAGAGTAGATTTAACAGTGTACAATTTTTACTTTTACTTCACTACTTTTAAGATCAGGTATTTGTACTTTCTACAGACACCTGCTCCTCTGGTTTAGTCCTGGTTTAGATCTGATTTAGTCCTGAAGTAGACCTGGTTTAGACCTAATATAGACCTGGTTTAGACTTGACAAAGGCCTGGTTTAAACCCAATTTAGATAAAAAGAAACAGAAAACGCACACCAAGATTCCTGCAGAGGTGCAAATGCAAGGAGTAGCCAGATCAGGGTGAAAAAATGCATAGCAAACTCGGTTGGCCGATGTCCAAATACTATTTTATTAACAAAATAACGTTTCGGCAAAAAAAGCCTTCATCAGATATTTTTCTTGTCTTGGATCACAGCACACAAAATGGTTGCCAGCCCAGGTGCCCAGATACCCACTCAATGAACGGGAGGTCCCAAAGTGAGGTCACCCAGTGAGTTCAGTCCATTCTACAACAAGAAACAACTGTTTACATAAAAAAACATTTTATAAAATACAGAAGTAGTTGGTCTATCACAAAAAACATCTTAAATCAAACTCCACATTCAGTCCATGAGGAGTAAGAGTTTTAAGATGGTGAATCCAGAAGTGTCTCTTTTTGACAGGAGCATCTCTAGGTTCCCACCTCTAGGGGGCAGTTCCACATGTTCAATGCCGATATATCTTAAGGAAGAGTTCATGTTTTTACATCTGATTGTTCTCCTCTGCTCTGCAATCCGTGTTTTTAAAGCCCTGCTGGTTTTACCCACATAAGCTTTACCACAGGGGCAGGTGATCATATAAATCACAGACTTGGTGTTACAGGATATAATTCCTTTGATCTTTATTTCTTTACCAGTGTGAGGAGCTTAAAACTGTTGCAGCGATATGTGTAGTTACACTGACTGCACCCACCACAACGACGATTTCCATCAGGAATAGGAGTCAGTATAGTTTGGCATGATGTGGTTTGATTAGGAGGAAGGTAGAAGTGCACAAGTCTATCTCCAAGGTTTCTTCCTCTTTTATACACCACTAGGGGGAGCTCTTTGAAAGCCACACCCAATGAAGGGTCAGTTTTTAGTATATGCCAATGTTTAGTTATGATGTTTTTGAGTTGTTCCGCGGGTTTTGAGTATCCAGTAGAAAATATAATCCGCTTATTGGCATTTTTTGGAGGGTTGACCCTCAGAAAATCAGATCTAGGTTTTCCTTTAACTTTAGTGGCAGCATCATTTAAAATAAATTTCTTATAACCCCTTTGTTCAAAGTTTGTCATCATATTACTTAAATTTCTTTCAAAGTCATCAGTTTTGTGGCATATTCTTTTAAGCCTACAAAACTGGCTGTATGGGAGACTCTTTTTCAGTGGAAGTGGATGTTGAGAGTCAGCTCTAAGTAAAGAATTTCGAGCTGTAGGCTTTTTATATAAGTCTGTATACAGCTGATTACCTCTCTGATGATCCACAAGTCCAAAAAACTCAAGTGCTGTTGATCATGATCCATTATAAAAGATATATATGAGGAGCGTGAGTTCAGATAAGCAAAAAATGACTCAAGTCTCAATTTAATACCTTTGAACAAGCAAAAAATGTCGTCCAAATATCTCTTCCATAGACATATGTTTTCTTTGAATTCATTATCATGATAAATAAACTTTTCCTCAAACAGACCCATGTATAAGTTACAGAAGGATGGTGAGAAAGGGCTACACATAGGTACTCCGTGTTTTTGAATGTAAAAAGTGTCCTGAAAAACCCAATAGTTGTTTTTCAATATAAGCCACGACATATCCAGAATAGAATTCAAAGAGGGAACCTCAATGTTCAATTTGGTCACATAATGTTTCATTGCCTCAATACCCCCATCATGTGGAATGGAGGTGTACATAGAGTTTATATCAAAAGATACCAAATACCATTCCTCTTCACTGGAGACACAGTCTATAGATTCAACAAAGTTGATCATATGACCTGTGTCCTTTATGAAGGAAGGTCTGATAATACTATCAATAAAAATAGACAGATTAGATGTGAGTGAGCCAATACTGGCTACAGTTGGTCTCCCTGGTGGATTTTCAAGGCTTTTGTGTATTTTTGGCAATATATAGAAAGTAGGAATAATAAGGTAATCCACTTTAAGAAAGCTATATTCATTTTCAGAAATCTCACCATTCTGTAACAATAAACTTAAAGCTTCATGAATAGAGTTCTTAAAATCATCTGTAGGATTACTTGGAAGTTTCTCATAGAATGTATTGTCTGATAATTGTCTCATACATTCCTTTATATAGTCAGATTTTTGTTCCGGGGGTCGTGTCCAACCGACTTTGATCCCAAAGTGTCCGGATCAGAAAACTCATGTCATATAAACCCCAAAAATATCAATAAGTTCAAATATTTGTGCAGAGAAACTCAAATCTATTACAGAAATCTTTTTAAATTGATGAACTCTTTCTTTTACAAAATATTATAATATTATGAACAACCTGAAACTTGAAGAAAAATACAATTTCAACACAACATTTTAAAAATAACTTGTCTGTAAACAGGAATAAGTCCATTTTTGTTGTAAAATCCTGCACTCGGCTCCACTTTTCTCATGTTGGACATTTTTCTGATGAGGGTGTCACGGTCAACAGTCAAAACGATCGTCCTTTAAGAGCGTTTGGAAAGAGACAAGTCTTCATTTGTGCTGCTCTGGTGGGAGGGGCCACGTACAGAGACGCTGGAGACGCTGCTGTGATAAACACCACAGAAAATTACCAAGATTTTAATAGAAAATATCATTCAAATATTTGAGTAGAAAATCAGCCAAGGGCCAGATTAAAGGTCTTGGAGGGCCGGATCTGGCCCCCGGGCCGTATGTTTGACCCCTGTGGTTTAAAACATATGGAACTTTAGAACCAAAAATGGTACAGAGTGCAGGAGTTTCATTTGTGAGTTAGCGTGTCTTGTGGTCATGATCTCACTCTGAGGGGAAGTGACTCTGCACAGGAAAAGGGTCTCGGAGTGGCAACACAAAAGCTGAACTTAACTTTACATTTTAAATCGTTGTTTTCGGCGAATACAGCGATTTCAAAACAGTAAAAGGTGATTTAAAGACGTCGTGTGTTTTAGTGTAATACTCCCTCTGTAATCACTGGATATTTATTGTTTATTCTGTGTTTTTTCTCAGTTTTGTGGTCAGATTAAAAAAAAAACAAACTGTTAAACTTTTTTTTTCGAGGTCACAGGAAACTTGAAGCAGGAGAGTGCAGAGAATCAGCATCCTGTACAAAAGCAAAGTACATCAAACCCCACGTCAGACTGACACGGACATGGACCTGGCCGCGCTCTGCTCGTTCCTCGGTAAGAAACTTTTTAACGTCTGTCTGAGCAGGAACGAGCCGCCGACACACTGCAGCTCAACAGAAAACATGATGGAACGTGATGAAGTAAAAGTACTGAAGTATTTAGGGCATAAATCTGAGGTATTTGTACTTTAATAGAGTAGATTTAACAGTGTACACTTTTTACTTTTACTTCAGTACATTTAAGATCAGGTATTTGTACTTTCTACAGACACCTGCTCCTCTGGTTTAGTCCTGGTTTAGACCTGGTTTAGACCTGGTTTGTACCTAAAATAGTCCTAATTTTAGCCCTAGTTTAGTCTTGGTTTAGACCTGGTTTAGACCTGTTTTATACTAGATTTAGACCCGGTTTAGACCTGATATAGTCCTCCTTTTAGCTCTAGTTTAGTCCTGGTTTAGTCTTGGTTTAGACTTGGTTTAGACCCAGTTTAGACCATGTTTAGACCTGGTTTAGACTTGGTTTAGACCTGATATAGTCCTAATTTTAGCTCTAGTTTAGTCCTTGTTTAGTCTTGGTTTAGATCTGGTTTAGTCCTTATTTTGACCTGGCTTACTCCTGGTCTAGCCCTAGTTTAGTCCTGGTTTAGACCTGATATAGACCTGGTTTAGTCTTGGTTTAGACCTGAAATAGTCCTAATTTTAGCTCTAGTTTAGTCCTTATTTTGACCTGGTTTAATCCTGGTTTAGACCAAATTTAGACCTGATTTATACCTGGTTTAGATCCAGTTTAGACCTGATATAGTCCTAAGTTTAGCTCTAGTTTAGTCCTTGTTTAGTCTTGGTTTAGATCTGGTTTAGGCCTTATTTTGACCTGTCTTACTCCTGGTTTAGACCTGGTTTAGAACTGATATTGGCCTGGTTTTAGCTCTAGTTTAGTCTTGGTTTAGTCCTGGTTTAGACCTGAGTAATAGTAATAGTAATAGTAATAGTAATAGTAATAGTAATAGTAATAGTAATAGTTTCCTCATCACAAACAGACCTGGAGTTGGGTTTTGTTTTTTGTTAAATATGCAGGATATTTCGACTGAGTATTTTATTGATTTATATTTTACATTAGAACATGGATTGTAAAACAGCATAACGTGAGTCTTCATTTGTTTTTCTTTTCAGTGTCTTTGAGAGTTTTCCCGAGTCGTGTGCAGTTCTTTCAGTACGAATCGGTTTATCTGAGCTGCGGAGATGAAACCAACGCATCTGAATGGACCATCATGAGGAACACGACTCGTCACAAAAACCAGAAAAACCCAGCGCAGGTTAAATCCCGCTGGTATTTTAACAGTAACTTGTACTACAAAGACGCCGGCGTGTACTGGTGCCAGTCTGAAGATGGACAGTGTGGGGCTGTGGTGAACGTCTCTGTGACCGGTGAGAACAGAAGGTTTCGACACTTGGGGGATTTCTACATGTGTCTCTAAATGTGTAATGTTCAGTTCAGTAGTTACCACGGTGACACAATACACACACATATACACATAAGGGTCCAGTCAAGGTGTAATGGAGGGAAACGGTCAGATTTTTGACATTCAAATGTCTCTTATTCAGAAACTAGAGGAACTATTGAAATAAGTAAAGTATCAGAATGTAGGAAAGAGTTACACTCCAACAGGGTCAAGTTAAACCTGTGAGATTCTTTCAAGTTCAAGACAAAAAATTTAAAAAACTCACGTCGGTAACGGAGGGAATGAAATATGCAGCACTTTTTGGTCAATAAATCCAAACAGTGATAACTCTTGGTTCTCACTTACATATCCTTAACAAACTGGTGTGAATATTTGCTTCATATAGTTTTCTACCATATGGTACAAGATTAGGTTGAAAAACCTCTGACTTTTTGACTCATGAGATTTTTTATTAAGAAAGGTCATGGTAACGGAGGGAAAAGTAACGGAGGGAAAATTGTACAAACAAGTAGAAGGTGCAGGATTTTACATCATTTGTCGATTTTTTCTTCCGAATACTTTAATATTACTTCAAAATGAAAGGAAACTATTTCTATAAAATATGTCAGTCCTTCCAAGAACATTTTTATCATTTTAAATACTTAAAAAAAAAAAAAAAAATCATGTACCTTCATCAACAGTTCAAAGATGGAATAACACAAGATATGATGAAATACATCAATTTATTTACATGATTTTTGGGTCTTTGAAATTTGGGAAATAATTTTTGTTCCATGTCAGTCTAGTTCTTTGTACATGTGTGTGAACATTTGGTGTTGTTCGTGTTATCTGGAGGGACTCACAGCCTCTTCGTCGGGCGGGGCCCTTGGTGCCTCTTTGCCTTTTGAAACGGGCCTGTCTGGGTTTAGGTCTGAAGATGGAGTTGTAAAAACGAGACAGATGATGTCTGAGTCCTCCATTTCTGTTCAAACATGGATTGTCTTTCTTAACAAAAACAGATTCTTTAACTCCTCTGTCAAACCATTTTCTTTTGTCTGGCTCAGATCTGTACCTCACTGTCCTCAAACGACTGACCTGTGGTTTTTAGGTGCAGATGTGCAGCAGTGGCGGCTGGTCAGTAGGGGCGCAAGAGCGACGCACTCCCTCACTTGACCTCGATAAAAGAAGAAGAAGAAGAAAAAAAAAATAAAGTTGTTATTTTGTATTAGGCTATATGTTTAATATTTTGTTTAAAAATGAACGTGTATCTGCATAGGCATATTTTTATCACGTTAGATGTGCTCATCTCACTTTATTTGAGTCATGTGTTTGGGATGTGAGTGCGGTGAGTCGGAGCGGCCTGATAGTTTCTGTGGAAGAGCCGGAAGTTTTGAGAATTTTTTTACGTCATGACGTTGCTTCTGCCCATGACTTTACATGAGCCTTAAAATCCGTGTTTGGGGCGCAGGGTCGGAGCGACATGAAATGCAGTGATTGTTCTGAATAAACATGAAGACACATGTGGACCTGTTGTGGATGAGCTGCTCTGTCCTTCAGCTCTGACTCTGACACATGTTACTGCCACAGGATCATGAGGAGAACAACAACAGCTGTGTGCTGTTCGGTTATGGAGAGTTCGTACATGTGCGTCCGAGGAACAGTTTTACGCTGTAGTTTTACAGCGAGAAAAGAAGCATTAAACTGGAATGAGCTTCTGGCTGCGGTGAGACTCTCCGGCTCTGATTCTGATTCACACACTGGATAATGGCGGCTAGTTATTACTTAAACCACCCCACAGTAAAGCGCGAGGACAGACCCGCCCCCGGGACCCAGGACCCACGCGCCCCCGGGACCCGGACCCACGCGCCCCGGGACCAGGGACCAGGACCCACGCGCTCCCGGGACCAGGACCCACTCGCCGCCGGGACCAGGACCCACGCGCCGCCGGAGCCTCTCGGAGCCAGGACCCACTCTCTGCCGGGGCCGGGGCAGTCGCTCGCTGCTCTGTCCGCCTCTGCCCGCGTGTTTCTCGGTGTAAAAGTGTCACTGGGCGCAGCGCACAGAGACATAAGTCCACCTGTGTCCTGGTGTTAATATGAACTGGTGTAACTTTCAGATTTAAGTGGGAAGTGGGATTAAGACAATTTTACAATCAGCTCGTGCACTCGGCTCCTGTACCTCTTGTCACGGACCAGTTTTATCTCTTCTTATTGGACAATAAACTTTTGGAGACAGAACCAGTGGGACAGCGGACAGAGGAAACACTCTGCTTCAGTCTCTGGAGAAGGTAAGAGGCTGGTTTTCATTAGTTTGGGGCAAATCTGAAGATGGAGCCTCACAGGTAAATAGTGTTATATTTAAATAGTGCGTAATTGAGCTCGTGGGTGGAGCTGTTGTCGTTTGTTCATGTTGTGACCATAGCCCCTTATTGTTGTTTTGCTGATGTTGTTGAGGATGGGTGTGAGCAGTGTGTTACCTCGTGTTGCGTTACCTCGTGTTGCGTTACCCTCGTGTTGTGTTACCCTCGTGTTGCGTTGCGTTACCTCGTGTTGCATTACCTCGTGTTGCGTTACTCTCGTGTTGTGTTACCCTCGTGTTGCGTTGCGTTACCTCGTGTTGCATTACCTCGTGTTGCGTTACTCTCGTGTTGTGTTACCCTCGTTTTGCGTTACCTCGTGTTGCATTACCTCGTGTTGCGTTACTCTTGTGTTGCGTTGCCTCATGTTGCGTTGTGTTACCTCGTGTTGTGTTGCCTCGTGTTGCGTTACCCTCGTGTTGCGTTGTGTTACCTCGTGTTGCGTTACCTCGTGTTGCGCTGCCTCGTGTTGCGTTGTTGCGTTACCTCGTGTTGCGTTGCCTCGTGTTGCGCTGCCTCGTGTTGCGTTACCTCGTGTTGCGTTGCCTCGTGTTGCGTTGCCTCGTGTTGCGTTGCCTCGTGTTGCGTTGTTACCTCGTGTTGCGTTACCTCGTGTTGCGTTACCTCGTGTTGCGTTACCTCGTGTTGCGTTACCTCGTGTTGCGTTGCCTCGTGTTGCGTTGCCTCGTGTTGCGTTGTGTTACCTCGTGTTGCGTTGACCTCGTGTTGCGTTGCCTCGTGTTGCGTTGCCTCGTGTTGCGTTGCCTCGTGTTGCGTTGTGTTACCTCGTGTTGCGTTGCCTTGTGTTGCGTTGCCTTGTGTTGCGTTACCTCGTGTTGCGTTGCCTCGTGTTGCGTTGCCTCGTGTTGCGTTGCCTCGTGTTGCGTTGCCTCGTGTTGCGTTTGTGTTTGCCTCGTGTTGCGTTGCCTCGTGTTGCGTTGCCTCGTGTTGCGTTGCCTCGTGTTGCGTTGCCTCGTGTTGTGTTACGTTGTGTTGTTGGGGCTGGGTGTGAGCGGTGGATCAGGTTGTGCTGCTGCATAAACTTGGGCAAAACTGCGCTTGGCTGTGCGTTGTGCTCTGATAGTTCAGCCAATAGTGACCAAAATGACTGTCTTTTTCTGTTTCATTATAATACTATGTAGCCTATATATAATAAATATATTTATAATATATATTTATAATTTTATAATAACGGCAGACTCAGGTCCCGTGTTGCTCTCTCGTCTCTCGTCTTCTTGTGAAGTGTCTGTTTAGTTTCTCCTGTGTGGCGTTCACTTCAGTCTTCACTACGCTGAATGGAGTAAATCACATTACTTCATTTGTGGCTCGGGGGTTTTGTTTTTTTTGTGTGGACCAGTTTCTCTCTTCTACTTACAGCTCCATTTTCAAACCTAAACAAAGAAAACTAGAGTGAAACTTTGTGGGCTCAGAGGTGTGAACGTTCCACCCAGGGCCCCGGATGATTCTGTTAAATGACTCCGTCACGGTCCACACCCAGTGCAAGTTCAACAGACCGAGCTACAAACAGAAACTAAAGAATTCAGAGTAGTTTCAGTGTAGTTAGCGCCCCCTTCAGGCAGATATAAGACAGTGTCCACCAACGTCTCACCAGAACTGAAGAAGAAGCTTGGATGAGCTGAGAAACATTTAGATCAAAACACTTTTGTCCAGTAACAAAACAGAATTTTTCCTTTGCCATGGATCCTAATGGACGACAGGGATTCTCCAAACGTCTGAGATAAAAGTTGAACAGCTCAAACCTCGTGGTCTTGGCCTGATCTCGTCAGATCTCAGGCCTGGATGGACGACAGACCAGTGACAGAGCAGGAGCCACAGGGAGGCGTCAGTGGCAATAACTGTTGTTGTGTCCTTAGGCAAGACACTTCACCCACATCGCACAGTATGAAAGTGTCATGTGCAAAAACACAGAACGTCACGATGGTCGTTTGAATCTGATGGGTCAAAGGTCACAACAGCGAAACAAGACAAAAAAACCCAAAAACCTTTAGTTAAATCTCAGACGTCTCCTCACTAAAGCAGGACTAAACCAGGTTTAAACCCAGGACTAAAACTAGGTCTAAAACTAGGTCTAAACCAGGACTAAACCAGGACTAAAACCAGAGCTAAAACCAGAGCTAAAACCTGGTTTAAACATTATGACACTAACAGTGGTGTGAACATATTTTAAAGCAGCAGTGTCTCATATAGAAATCACTTCTCTATCAATAATATTTTTAAGTAAAGTCTGGAGTTTTTCTTTTCTTTTAGCAGATAAAACAAAACTTCTCATGTTCAGATCCTCGTCTTTGTTTCTCTACAGTAAAACAAAAGTCTGTTCATGGAGACTTGAACTCAACAGACAATTTGAAGAAAACAAACATGAATTTTCAGGATGTGGTTGGTACATTCATGTCGTTTTAAAAAACACGACAATATCAAGTAATCCAAAGTATTCAGATTACATTACTCACTTTAAGTAATTTAATGGATTCTGTTACAAATAGTGTTGGGAAAGTGACTTTTAAAATGTAATCCCCTACAGATTACAGATTACATACCCCAAAATGTAGTTTGTAAAGTAATCCATTAAGTTACTTAAAGTGAGTAATGCAATCTGAATACTTTGGATTACTTGATATTGTCATGTTTTTTAAAACGACATGAATGTACCAACCACATCCTGATAGAGAAATGATTTTTATATGAGATCACTGCTGCCTTCAATTATGTCCACCTACTGTTACTGTCATGTTGTTTAGTCCTGGTTTTAGACCTGGTTTTAGACCTGGTTTAGTCCTAGTTTTAGACCTGGTTTAATCCTGGTTTAGTCTTGGTTTAGTCTTGGTTTAGTCCTGGTTTTAGACTTGGTTTAGTCCTGCTTTAGTCCTGGTTTAGTCCTGGTTTAGTCTTGATTTAGCCCAAAATGTGAAAACAGGAAAATCCCGCCCTGTAATCCATTTATTTCAACAAAGTAACTGTAATCCAATTCCCACTCACTGAAACAGTAACTGTAACTGAATACAGTTACTCATCATTTGTACTCTGATTACTCCAGTACATGTAATCCATTACTCCCCAACACTGGTTACAAACTACATTTTGGGGTCTGTAATCTGTAGGGAACATCGTGTATATTTATTCTACCCGTTGCTCAGGGTAACCATTGTTTTTGCAGATTTCTTGAGTTAAATTTCTTTGTCTTGAACTTGTGCGTTGTGCTTCTGTTGTGTTTGTAGCTGGAGATGTGATCTTGGAGAGCCCACCGCTGCCTGTAACAGAGGGACACACAGTCACACTTCGGTGCATTTGGAACCCAGACAAACCGAGAACTGAAGGAACGTTTGAGTTCTTTAAAGACGGTTCTTGTGTTGGGAACAGCTCCAGCGGAAACCTGACCATCCCCTCTGCGTCTCACTCAGACTCTGGGCTGTACACGTGCAGCCACCAGGGGGCGCTGTCTGCAGAGAGTCCACTGCACGTGCTCAAAACGGGTCAGTTACCTTCACCTTATTCCAGAAGTTCATCATTTGGGTTTGTGTTATTGTTCATGGGGCTGTCGGTTTCAACACAAAATATGTTCTATATGAATCACAAAACTGTTCAATTATTTTGGTCCGGGGTCGTGTCCAACCGATTTTGATCCCAAAGTGTCCGGATCAGAAAACTCATGTCATATAAACCCCAAAAATAACAATAAGTTCAAATATTTGTGCAGAGAAACACAAATCTATTACAGAAATCTTTTTTAATTGATGAACTCTTTCTTTTACAAAATATTATAATATTATGAACAACCTGGAACTTTAAGAAAAATACAATTTCAACACAAAGTTTGAACATGATGATGGTTTAGTTTAACATCGTTTAGTTTTGTTTTAGTCCTGGTTTAGTCTTGTTTTAGTCCTGGTTTAGTCTTGTTTTAGTCCTGGTTTATTCCTGGTTTGGTCCTGGTTTAGTCTTGTTTAGTCCTGGTTTAGTCTGTTTTAGTCTGTTTTAGTCTTGTTTTAGTCCTGGTTTAGTCCTGGTTCAGTTCCTGGTTTAGTCTTGTTTTAGTCCCATTTTAGTCTTGTTTTAGTCCTGGTTTAGTCCCGGATTAGACCTGGTTTAGACCTAGTTTAGTCCTGGTTTAGTACTGGTTTGGTCCTGGTTTGGTCCCGTTTTAATCCTGGTTTAGTTCTGGTTTAGTCTTGTTTTAGTCTTGCTTTAGTCTTGTTTAGTCCTGGTTTAGTCTTGTTTTAGTCCTGGTTTAGTCTTGTTTTAGTCCTGGTTTAGTCTTGTTTTAGTCCCTGGTTTAGTCTTGTTTTAGTCCTGGTTTAGTCTTGTTTTAGTCTTGGTTTTAGTCCTGGTTTAGTCCTGGCACAGACCTGACTCAGACCTGATGTAGTCCTCGTTTAGACCCATGTTGTTTCGTCCATGTCTGTGCGTCTCGTTTATTTATTTGTTTGTTTGTTTGTTTGTTTGTTTTGTTATTGAGGTCAGTTTGTGGTTCTGTTCACAGCGGGGAGCCCCCCACAGCTCTCCGACAGCCCGGCCTCCGTTCTCTCCTCCGTCATCCTCATCGTCGCGCTTCCTGTTGCCGCGGTGACGGTGGCGACAGCGGCTCTCGTCTGCGTCGTCCTCGTCTGCGTCAGGAAGAAGAAGAAGAAGAAGAGGAGGAAAGGTCAGACCTGCTTCACCCTCACAAACTTACAAACACGAGAGAAACGAGCTGAGCCGCAGGAAAAGTCCGGGATCTGTGTGTCGTTCGTTCCTTCGTTTTTCAAAATAAAACCAAAAATAAGAAAATGAAAAAAAAACAACTATTTTCTTCATTATTTGTCTCCAAAACCAAAATGAAAAAACAGAAAATGATTCATTTTTTTCAGTTTTCGATTTTGTGTTTAAATGAAAAATGGAAAAAAAAAACGGATAACGGACTAAACCAGGACTGAACCAGGACTGAACCAGGACTAAACCAGGACTAAAACAAGGACTGAACCAGGACTGAACCAGGACTGAACCAGGACTAAACCAGGACTGAACCAGGACTGAACCAGGACTAAACCAGGACTAAAACAAGGACTGAACCAGGACTGAACCAGGACTAAACCAGGACTGAACCAGGCTCGGAACCTGACTGGAACCAGACCAGAACTGAGACCAGAACTGAGACCTGGACTGAGATTGGGACTGAAAACGGTTTAGTCCTGGTTCAGTCCCTTATTCGTTTTTTCCATTTTTCATTTAAACACAAAATCAAAAACTGAAAAAACAAATCATTATCTGTTTTTTTTATTTATTTTGGTTTTGCAGACAAATAAAGAAGAAAATTGTTTTGTTTTTTTCCATTTTCTTATTTTTGGTTTTATTTTGAAAAACGAATAAACGAACGAACGACACACGGATTCGGGTTAGTCATTTCTCTGTCTGGAATGTTCCACAGCTCTACCTTTTCATTTATTCAATTATAACTGGTTTTACAGCTCAAAAATTCCAAGAAAAACAAACATTAAGACTGTGATCGGGGTCCCCTCTCAACAGATCTGACCTGTAACTTGGTCCGGTTTGGTCTCCATGGAGATAGAAAGGTTTAATGCCACACGAACATTCTAGACGAAACAATAACATCTTTTAAAATGTAAATGTTCACATTAATATGCGCTGTCCCTTCACAAATAAATAAGAAAATAAGAAAAATCTCCACGAAGAAAAACGTTTGACGGACGCTCCACCAGAAAAGTTACACAATGCAGCTTTAAATTTATCTTCTGCTCACCTGATTTTTTATTTTATTTTATTTTTCTGCAGAAAGCGAACAGTGTGACGCTCTTTACGTCAATGTCATGCGCTTCTCCAGACGAACAGCAAAGATGAAGCAGCTCAAAGGTAAAAAAAATAAATAAATAAATAAAATGAAGAGTAAAATTTGATCTGTTTGGTCATTTACAAATCCAAGGCTGTTTTTAGAACGTGTTTGAAGGACGTGAACAGTTTTTGAGTCTCAGTTATGATCAGTGTTGGGGAGTAACAGATTACATGTACCGGAGTAATCAGAGTACAAATGATGAGTAACTGTATTCAGTTACAGTTACTGTTTCAGTGAGTGGGAATTGGATTACAGTTACTTTGTTGAAATAAATGGATTACACAGAAATATTTTCCTGTTTTCACATTTTGGGCTAAACCAGGACTAAAACCAGGACTAAACCAGGACTAAACCAGGACTAAACCAGGACTAAACCAGGTCTAAACCAGACTCTAAACCAGGACTAAACAGGACTAAACCAGGACTAAACGAGGACTAAAAACAGGACTAAACCAGGACTAAAAAAGGACTAAACCAGGACTAAACCAGGACTAAACCAGGTCTAAAAACAGGATAAAAGGACTAAAACAGGACTAAACCAAAAACAGGACTAAACCAGGATCTAAACAGGACAAACCAGGTAAACTAAAAACAGGACTAAACCAGGACTAAAACCAGGACTAAACCAGGACTAAACCAGGTCTAAAAACAGGACTAAACCAGGTCTAAACCAGGACTAAAAAAAGGACTAAACCAGGACTAAAACAGGACTAAACCAGGACTAAAAACAGGACTAAACCAGGTCTAAACCA